ATTTCCAAGTGCCGCCATGAAAACAAGTTCTACTTGCGAAACCAATAGAAACAGTCCTTTTGTCTTCTTAATTGCTTCCTATTATTTTAACTATAATTTCTATTTATAAATTGACTTTATAGCACGGTATGTTTTCCATCGATAATAAACCGTCTGACGATCGCAGCGCAAGCTGCGTGAAACTCAGAGTAATGGTGAAACGATCTTCCTGTCATTAATTTATAACCGCTATTGAAACACTCTGCAACCCGCATCGAGCACTTTTTCACAGCCACGACTTCTCCTAGTCTGTTTATATATATATATATTTATAGCTTTTTGGCATTACAAAGCTTTGCTTTCATGTTCAAGTTGAGCACTAGGATGGGTCATTCCATACAATTGTGCGATGCTCACTAATCAGACTAATCATTACTTTGAGCACTCTGGCTTGGCCTCGATGACACCACAAATGTAAAATCATTAGGTGTGGTCATATAGGTTTACCTTGTAAATAAAGGCTGATCGTTTCGAAAGAAACTGTTTGGGGCTGCGTCGGTGGGGGTAACGAAATAATTTGGATGTATCAACAAAGTTGAAATGGTAAATTCAGGCCACCGCAACGATTAAAAAAGCTGACGTTTCGAGCGTTAGCCCTTCGTCGTTGGCCCTTCGTCGTTAGCCCTTCGTCATTCGCTCCGACGAAGGACTAACGCTCGAAACGTCAGCTTTTGTAATCGTTACGGTGGCTAATTTACCATTTCAACTTTGTTGATACATCCAAATTATTTGGGTTTACCTAGGTTTTGCAATTTCAACCTTTGTTACGATGCAGAGAAAGTCCAAGTCAGGAAGATTTCCAAAAGAAAGAAGATGAAGAGTAGAACAACTTTTTCACTTCCGCATCAATGCAGTACTGACTAATAAAAGCTTAGATGTAGTTACATCGTGCAAGTAAACCTAATGTACAGAATGAATATCCCACGAGTCATACGTATTTTCTCAGTTTACCAATAATCATAATGCCGTTAGGGATGGTCCAGGGTCCACTTTGGCGGAGCTCAGAACTGACACCCGTGATCAACACATTCTAAGCTAAATGCGCCCTCTATATGTATAGATGTTATCTCTTGCAACGTTCAATCCCGCAATAAATCACCCTGAAGACAAGTTAGGACTGCCATTAAAGGCTGTAGTCAAACCTTGGAAGAATCGGGAAATGGCGTTGGTGACTATCTTTGGTGGGACTTGAGGGATTGAAAGTCAAAGTGTTTTTCTCTCAAATATGCAACAGCTTTATCGCATTCTGATTAGCTCTACCTTCACTCTTGGTAAAGATGGTAATAAAAAGTGCTCGTATTGTTACTCTACCTTGAGGTCGGCACAACACACTAGCGCCTTCATAATGCTCGCAGTTCTCAACCCCCCATCCACTGTGATCACATTGCGATATTGCTGTCTCAACTCCAACGCAATTAATGTTATCAAGCCATATCTGACCAGTTCCTTCTCCAAATGCTGCATCACCAGGCGCTGATAAAGCTCCATCGTATCCAAGCTGGCGACATACCACATCAGCGTCCTGTAAGTCCCATGAGTTGTCACAGATGGTTCCCCATATACCATTGTAAAACACTTCAACACGACCAGAAGACGACGAATTGGTGGGGCTTGCCAAACGTACTGTTATAAATGTGAGTGTATAGATAAAACTTAGCTAGATATAAGTGGTGAGCGTTCGTCTAATGAAACATTTTATAGTGAAGCAAAAGCCAACATAAACCTCAAAGTAGATCATTCGATGGACTGTAAAGAAAATATGAGCTGAACAACACTGGAAATACTTTCAGTTGTAGGTACAGAAAAACTTTCTCTTATTAAATTTGCTTTGATAGCATAATGCGGTTGGAAAAAAGGAAAAAAACTGCGGTCGGAAAAAAGAAAACGAAAAGAAGAAAGAAATGAGAGAAGAAATATAGTCCGTTAGTCCTAGCTTACCCACGCCGTACGAGTATCTTTACCTCACTTACAGGTCGACGAACTATTCCAGCGTCTTCATTATTCCTACAGTTATGCTCTTTCCATCTTCCATGATGGAAAGATTGGCTGTAATACTGTTGAATATGTAACGGCTTCCTCATAGTTCTACTTCAATTCTTGGTAAATATGGTAAAAAAAGTCATGGTATTGCTACAGTTGTACTGTACCTGAGGGTCGGCAAACCACACCGGCGTCTTGATTATGCCTACAGTAGTGAACTCCCCACCCTCTGTAATTGCACTGTGTTATTGATGTCTCATTCCCCACACATTGCACGTTATCCAGCCATATCGGACCAATTCCTTGTCCAAATATTGCATTTCTAGGCGCTGATATGGCTCCATCATAACCAAGCTGGCGACAAACAACATCAGCATCTTGCAAGTCCCAATAGTGGCCGCAAATGGTTCCCCACGTACCCCTGTAAAGCACTTCAACACGACCAGAAAACGGCGAATGGTTGGAATTCAGTAAACGAAGAGCTGTTTTGGTGTGAACAGAAATTAAAGTTAATTTGAAAAAACTTTGGAGGACGTTTAGAAGAATATTGTAACCAATAAGGGATTCAGCCTCTAAATGTTTTATGAAAAAGAAATTCAAGTTTCACACCAGCACATCATTCTGACAAAGAATGCAAACAAAGAAGAAACACGACACTTCAAAATTCTTTAACTCAATATGCATTTGAACTCAATGTGCTCGAGTCCCGTTATCCAAAAAAAATATTCTGCAAAAGATCGATGTTTTTTACTGAGAAAATAATAATGATAATGATGTTTTATTCATAGTCTCCATGGGGTTGGGGTTAGGGTTAGGGAATGTATTGCAGCATTGTATTCAACCTAGAAAACCTTGAACTGTTTGAAAAAGTCTAGCTTTTTTTTTCTTTGAAAGTACTGAAATAATGATTCCTAGTATATAAACGATAGTCACATGAATATTCTTTCATTAAACCCCTGAAGAGTGAAGCGATTCACGAAACAGGCTTGTCGGGAAATGTAGTTACGTCCTTTTTTCCTCTCATAATATTTATTCTGCTCTGCTTCAACGTATTGAGCACTGTTCCACGCGAAAATCGACTTGCAGACTTCCTATATATATATATATGTAGGAAAAATATTGTATTACACGAGGACGGACAACTTCGAGTTAAGAAAGACATATACTCAAATAAAAAGTCTAAGAAAGTTTAATAAAATACGTTTCGGTCCGAGACCTTCATCAGTTGTGATACAATGACTTACAAATTCCTTAAATAGATTTATATAGGCGTGATGACACATATAAATAAACAC